TGGGGTGTGGGTGGTAGTTGGGGGTGTGGGTGGTGGAAGAGGGTGTGAGTGTTAGTTGGGGGTGTGGGTGGTGGTTGGGGTGTGGGTGGTGGTTAGGGGTATGGGTGGTGGTAGAGATGTGGGTGGTGGTAGGGATGTGGGTGGTGGTAGGGGGTGTGGGTGGTGGTTGGGGTGTGAGTGGTGATTGGGTGTGTGGGTGGTGGTTGGGCGTGTGGGTGGTGGTAGTGGTGTGGGTGATTGTAGGGGTGTGGGTGGTAGTAGGGAGAGTAGGTGGTGGTAGGGAGTGTGGGTGGTGATCGGGGGTGTGTGGGTGGTGGTAGGTGTGTGGATGGTAGTAGAGAGAGTAGGTGGTGGTAGGGAGTGTGGGTGGTGGTAGGGAGTGTGTGCGTTGGTAGGTGTGTGGGTGCGGGTAGGGGTGTGGGTGGTAGTAGAAGTGTGGGGTGGTGGTAGGGGTGTTGGTGGTGGTAAGGGAGTGTTGGTGGTGGTAAGGGAGTGTGGGTGGTGGTAGGGAGTGTGGGTGGTGGTAGGGGTGTGGGTGGTGGTAAGGGTGTGGGTGGTGGTAGGGAGTATGGGAGTTGGTAGGGAGTGTGGGTGGTGGTAGGGAGTGTGGGTGGTGGTAGAAAGTGAATTGTGGGGTGGCGGTAGGGAGTGTGGGTAGTGATAGGGGTGTGGGTTGTGGAAAGGGTGTGGGTGGTGGTAGGGAGTGTGGGTGGTTGTAGGAAGTGTGGGTGGTGGTAGGGAGTGTGGGTGGTGGTAGGTGTGTGGGTGGTGGTAGGGGAGTGTGGGGTGGTGGCAGAGGTGTAGGTGGTGGTAGGGGTGTGGGTGGTGGTAAGGAGTGTGGATAGTGGTAGGGAGTGTGGGTGGTGGTAGGGGTGTGGGTGGTGGTAGGGGTGTGGGTGGTGGTTAGGGGTGTGGGTGGTGGTAGAGATGTGGGTGGTGGTAGGGATGTGGGTGGTGGTAGGGGGTGTGGGTGGTGGTTGGGGTGTGAGTGGTGATTGGGTGTGTGGGTGGTGGTTGGGCGTGTGGGTGGTGGTAGTGGTGTGGGTGATTGTAGGGGTGTGGGTGGTAGTAGGGAGAGTAGATGGTGGTAGGGAGTGTGGGTGGTGATCGGGGGTGTGTGGGTGGTGGTAGGTGTGTGGATGGTAGTAGAGAGAGTAGGTGGTGGTAGGGAGTGTGAGTGTTAGTTGGGGATGTGGGTGGTGGTAGAGGTGTGGGTGGTGGTTGGGGGTGTGGGTGGTGGTAGAGGTGTGGGTGGTGGTTGGGGGTGTGGGTGGTGGTAGAGGTGTGGGTGGTGGTTGGGGGTGTGGGTGGTGGTAGAGGTGTGGGTGGTGGTTGGGGGTGTGGGTGGTGGTAGAGGTGTGGGTGGTGGTTGGGGGTGTGGGTGGTAGTTAGGGGTGTGGGTGGTGGTAGAGGTGTGGGTGGTGGTTGGGGGTGTGGGTGGTGGTAGTGGTGTGGGTGGTGGTAGAGGTGTGGGTGGTGGTTGGGGGTGTGGGTGGTGGTAGTGGTGTGGGTGGTGGTTAGGGGTGGGTGGTAGTGTGGGTGTGGGTGGTGGTAGTGGTGTGGGTGTTAGGGTGGTGGTTAGGGGTGGGTGGTGGTTGGTGTGGTAGTGGTTGGTGGGTGTGGTAGGGGTGTGGGTGGTGGTAGTGGTGTGGGTGGTGGTTAGGGGTTGGGGGTGTGGGTGGGGTGGTAGAGGTGTGGGTGGTGGTAGGGGTGGTGGTGGTGGTGGATAGTGGTGGGGGTGGTGGTAGTGGTGTGGGTGGTAGTGGGGGTGGTGGTGGGGGTGGGGTGGTGGTAGGGGTGTGGGTGGTGGTAGTGGTGTGGTGTGGGTGGTGGTAGAGGTGTGGGGTGGTTGGGGGTGGGTGGTGGTAGAGGTGTGGGTGGTGGTAGAGGTGTGGGTGGTGGTAGGGGTGTGGTGGTGGTAAGGAGTGTGGATAGTGGTAGGGGTGTGGGTGGTGGTAGTGGTGTGGGTGGTAGTTGGGGTGTGGGTGGTGGTTAGGGGTGTGGGTGGTGGTAGAGGTGTGGGTGGTGGTTGGGGGTGTGGGTGGTGGTAGTGGTGTGGGTGGTGGTAGAGGTGTGGGTGGTGGTTGGGGGTGTGGGTGGTGGTAGTGGTGTGGGTGGTGGTTAGGGGTGTGGGTGGTGGTAGAGGTGTGGGTGGTGGTAGAGGTGTGGGTGGTGGTAGGGGTGTGGGTGGTGGTAAGGAGTGTGGATAGTGGTAGGGGTGTGGGTGGTGGTAGTGGTGTGGGTGGTAGTTGGGGGTGTGGGTGGTGGTAGAGGTGTGGGTGGTGGTAGAGGTGTGGGTGGTGGTAGTGGTGTGGGTGGTAGTTGGGGGTGTGGGTGGTGGTAGAGGTGTGGGTGGTGGTAGTGGTGTGTGGGTGGTGGTTGGGGGTGTGGGTGGTGGTAGAGGTGTGGGTGGTGGTAGTGGTGTTGAAGATGGTGTCGGAAGTTTTATTATTATTATTATTTTCTACCACAGACGTGGTAGAAAATAATAATAAAAAAATATATTCATAATCTTCTCTCCTCCATGGACAGGGTTAGAGATCTGTTGAACATATAATTCATTGATTTATTGAACTATCAGCCACAGAAGGTGATTGTAGTGCCTTTAACACGCTACTCTAACCTGCAAACATAAATAAACTGATTTACGTCCGCCTACATAAACAGTGTTCGAGGTGTATAATTACATAGCGTCATTAATGTGAGTTTACAAAGGAGAAATGCAATTCTGACCAGCTTCCATATACCCTGTATAAACACACACACACACACACATATACATATATACATATATACCTACATATATCCACTTATATATACATTTACGTCTCTCCTACTCTGACAGGGTTAAGACACCTTCTTTAGAAACTAGGGTGATATTAAACACTGAAGGCGATTATGATGCTTTGACACGCTCAAGTTTTAGGTACAATACATTGTATAACAGATGTATTACATATTGTATAGGTACAATACATTTTATAACAGATGTATTACATATTGTATAGGTACAATACATTGTGTAACAGATGTATTACATATTGTAAAGGTACAATACATTTTACAACAGATGTATTACATATTGTATAGGTACAATACATTTTACAACAGATGTATTACATAGTCAATCTAGGGTACAAGTCCATCATCAAGTGTTCCAGTACTCATATAGTAATTACAGAGTTCAGCATACTTCAGCCCAGGAGGGCGGAAGTCACTCAATATGGGACATTCTACAATACAATGTTCAAGGGAATTTGAACATTTTGTTTTCTCTTTCACAAAGTTGACACATGGCGTATTCTGAGACTTTCACAAAGTTGACACATGGTGTATTCCGACACTTTTTTCTGGGTGTCACTACTATGTGCGGTCAATGCCAGGAGTGCACTCTGCGAGTCACAGTATACAAGTCCACTGCCTTTGTATTTTAACAATTCAGTGGCAAGGTATATGCCTGCAAGTTCGGTTTGAGTTGTACTTGCCCAGTCATTGACGCGCTTCATTGCTGTATGTACGAGAGAAGATTGTTCAAATATGTTACATGCACATCCGGTACATCGTCCACCTTCTTCTACAGAGCCGTCGGTATAACACTGATACTCATCGTTACCGATACTCTGAGTACTCTCAGTGATGCTGCACGGTGTTAACTGTTGTAATAATGTAGCGTGTTCAGGTAGTGGTAGTAGGATGGGCAGTGGTTGTAGTGAAGGTAGGCGTAATTATGCGAGTAGTGGTAGAGATGAGAGACATGAACTGAGAAGAAAAGTGGGAGACATGATTACCATATATAAAGTACTCAGGGCATACAATGACGCACTAATTTAGTATTGGTAAGTACTCGAACAAGGGGACACTGGCGGAAACAAAACACTCAACTGAAGCAGACCCTTATTATGTATGTATTTTTTTAAGTGAGAATGTTACGAACAAATAGAATAAATTCCTTAATAAGTGAAGTGGAGATGGTAAACTCCCCCCCCCCCCCCACACACACACATACGGAGTAGTTAGTAAATGGAATGCACTTGAAAGTGATGTGGTAGAGGCTGACTCCATACACAAATTTCAAATGTAGATCTGATGGAGCGTGAAAAGCTCAGGAACCTGTACACCACTAGACTGACTGTTGAGAGCCGGGACCGAAGAGCTAGAACTCAACCCCCCCTGCAAGCACAACTAGGTGAGTACACACACAAACACAAGTTATAAATGTAGATATGACCGTGCACAATAGGCTCTGTAACCTATACACTAGCCTCTTGTTACAAATCGGGACCCAAGAGTCGTAGTTCACCCCTCGCCAGTACAAGCAGGTGTGTACTAATAGGTAACTACACACACCAAGGGGGGGCGGGATCTCATTTACCACACAGCGGTCACTAATTAATGCTTCATGATCACTCAACACATGTTAAACCAACTATAAAACACCGCAAACTCTGCGAGCAGAGACCTACATTCACCCAAAACCTGCCCGCCTCTCTGCTCTCTCCTTCCGCAGCAGGAAATTGACCTCCTGAGGCAGCTGGTCTGCCATAAGCGATAGACATGGCCCGGTGATTGAGGTTTTCGAATCATCGCCTTCCATAGCCCATGTCAAGGACCAATTAACCAGGGACCCCGGAGCTAAGGTCCGGTTTGTGGGGCCGACCGTGACTCTACCCGACCGTCTGCCTACAGCCTCTCTTTGTGGATGCTTGAGTATGCATGTACGCTCCTTGTCATCACCACTGGAGACGAACGCCGCTGCCAAAGGATTGTATTTATGCAAAAGAAAAAGAGTGAGGAGTGAGCTTGGGAACGTTTGAGAGCACATCCCTCAACGCCGCCGGACACTGACTCCGCCTACTCAGCTCCGCCAGCCAATGGGGGGAGAGTGGGCGGCGCATGCGCTGTGACGCTGGCCAACACGGCTGCCCACTGTCCACTGCCTCCGTCCTCCTGGTACTTATGTCACTCTTGATGGATTGCTTGCAGTCTCCACAACCCTGGAATTACAAACTGCCAACCTTAAGTTCCCAGCTTCTCAGAAAGGAGAGAAGAGTAGCGCGGGGTGGAGGTACCGTGGAGCGCGGGTGGAGGCACCGTGGAGCGCGGGTGGAGGCACCGTGGAGCGCGGGTGGAGGCACCGTGGAGCGCGGGGTGGAGGCACCGTGGAGCGCGGGTGGAGGCACCGTGGAGCGCGGGGTGGAGGCACCGTGGAGCGCGGGTGGAGGCACCGTGGAGCGCGGGTGGAGGCACCGTGGAGCGCGGGTGGAGGCACCGTGGAGCGCGGGTGGAGGCACCGTGGAGCGCGGGGTGGAGGCACCGTGGAGCGCGGGTGGAGGCACCGTGGAGCGCGGGTGGAGGCACCGTGGAGCGCGGGGTGGAGGCACCGTGGAGCGCGGGTGGAGGCACCGTGGAGCGCGGGGTGGAGGCACCGTGGAGCGCGGGTGGAGGCACCGTGGAGCGCGGGGTGGAGGCACCGTGGAGCGCGGGTGGAGGCACCGTGGAGCGCGGGTGGAGGCACCGTGGAGCGCGGGGTGGAGGCACCGTGGAGCGCGGGTGGAGGCACCGTGGAGCGCGGGGTGGAGGCACCGTGGAGCGCGGGTGGAGGCACCGTGGAGCGCGGGTGGAGGCACCGTGGAGCACGGGAGCAGGTAGCGTGGGTGGAGGTACAGTGGAGCATGGGTGGAGGCACCGTGTAGCGTGGGTGGAGGCACCGTGGAGCACGGGTGCAGGTACCTTGGAGCATGGGTGGAGGCACCGTGTAGCATGGGTGGAGGCACCGTGGAGCACGGGTGGAGGTACCTTGGAGCACGGGTGCAGGTACCTTGGAGCATGGGTGGAGGCACCGTGTAGCGTGGGTGGAGGCACCGTGGAGCACGGGAGCAGGTAGCGTAGGTGGAGGTACAGTGGTGCACAGGTGCAGGTACCTTGGAGCATGGGTGGAGGCACCGTGGAGCACGGGTGGAGGCACCGTGGAGCACGGGTGGAGGCACCGTGGAGCACGGGTGGAGGCACTGTGGAGCGCGGGTGGAGGCACTGTGGAGCGCGGGTGGAGGCACCGTGGAGCGCGGGTGGAGGCACCGTGGAGCGCGGGTAGAAGCACCGTGGAGCGGGGGGGGGGGGTACTGTGGAGCATGGGTGGAGGCACCGTGGAGCGGGGGGGGGGGTACTGTGGAGCATGGGTGGAGGCACTGTGAGCTCGGGTAGAGGTACCGTGGAGCGCGGGTGGAGGCACCGTGGAGCGCGGGTAGAAGCACCGTGGAGCGGGGGGGGGGGGGTACTGTGGAGCATGGGTGGAGGCACCGTGGAGCGGGGGGGGGGGGGTACTGTGGAGCATGGGTGGAGGCACCGTGGAGCGGGGGGGGGGGGTACTGTGGAGCATGGGTGGAGGCACTGTGAGCTCGGGTAGAGGTACCGTGGAGCGCGGGTGGGGGCACCGTGGAGCGCGGGTGGAGGCACCGTGGAGCGCGGGTGGAGGCACCGTGGAGCGCGGGTGGAGGCACCGTGGAGCGCGGGTGGAGGCACCATGGAGCGCGGGTGGAGGCACCGTGGAGCGCGGGTGGAGGCACCGTGGAGCGCGGGTGGAGGCACCGTGGAGCGCGGGTGGAGGCACCATGGAGCGCGGGTGGAGGCACCATGGAGCGCGGGTGGGGGCACCATGGAGCGCGGGTGGAGGCACCATGGAGCGCGGGTGGGGGCACCGTGGAGCGCGGGTGGGGGCACCGTGGAGCGCGGGTGGAGGCACCGTGGAGCGCGGGTGGAGGCACCGTGGAGCGCGGGTGGGGGCACCGTGGAGCGCGGGTGGGGGCACCGTGGAGCGCGGGTGGGGGCACCGTGGAGCGCGGGTGGGGGCACCGTGGAGCGCGGGTGGGGGCACCATGGAGCGCGGGTGGAGGCACCATGGAGCGCGGGTGGGGGCACCGTGGAGCGCGGGTGGGGGCACCATGGAGCGCGGGTGGAGGCACCATGGAGCGCGGGTGGAGGCACCATGGAGCGCGGGTGGGGGCACCGTGGAGCGCGGGTGGAGGCACCGTGGAGCGCGGGTGGAGGCACCGTGGAGCGCGGGTGGAGGCACCGTGGAGCGTGGGTGGAGGCACCGTGGAGCGAGGGTGTAGGCACCGTGGAGCGCGGGTGGAGGCACCGTGGAGCGCGGGTGGGGGCACCGTGGAGCGCGGGTGGGGGCACCGTGGAGCGCGGGTGGAGGCACCGTGGAGCGCGGGTGGAGGCACCGTGGAGCGCGGGTGGAGGCACCGTGGAGCGCGGGTGGAGGCACCGTGGAGCGCGGGTGGAGGCACCGTGGAGCGCGGGTGGAGGCACCGTGGAGCGCGGGTGGAGGCACCGTGGAGCGCGGGTGGAGGCACCGTGGAGCGTGGGTGGAGGCACCGTGGAGCGCGGGTGGAGGCACCGTGGAGCGCGGGTGGAGGCACCGTGGAGCGCGGGTGGAGGCACCGTGGAGCGTGGGTGGAGGCACCGTGGAGCGCGGGTGGAGGCACCGTGGAGCGCGGGTGGAGGCACCGTGGAGCATGGGTAGAGGCACCGTGGAGCGTGGGTGGAGGCACCGTGGAGCGTGGGTGGAGGCACCGTGGAGCGCGGGTGGAGGCACCGTGGAGCGCGGGTGGAGGCACCGTGGAGCGCGGGTGGAGGCACCGTGGAGCGCGGGTGGAGGCACCGTGGAGCACGGGTGGAGGCACCGTGGAGCGCGGGTGGAGGCACCGTGGAGCGCGGGTGGAGGCACCGTGGAGCGCGGGTGGAGGCACCGTGGAGCATGGGTAGAGGCACCGTGGAGCGCGGGTGGAGGCACCATGGAGCGCGGGTGGAGGCACCGTGGAGCACGGGTGGAGGCACCGTGGAGCACGGGTGGAGGCACCGTGGAGCTCGGGTGGAGGCACCATGGAGCGCGGGTGGAGGCACCGTGGAGCGCGGGCAATATGTGGCCTTCACCAACATGCGCACCGTAGTCTTCATGGCCAGGTAAACAAGAGGTGAATAATCCATACATTAACCCGGACTTTTATTCTCCTCTTTCTCCACGGCGGGGAAATAATTCAATCAATTATATCCATGATTAAATATTGTGGGTTGGGGGGGGGGCAGTCTGCTTGCTGGCTTGAGTGTTTGCAAGAATATCCCAGGTACAGACAGGTGTATCCTAGGTACAGACAGGTGTATCCCAGGTACAGACAGGTGTATCCCAGGTACAGACAGGTGTATCCCAGGTACAGACAGGTGTATCCCAGGTACAGACAGGTGTATCCCAGGTACAGACAGGTGTATCCCAGGTTATCTTGAGGTTATCTTGAGATGATTTCGGGGCTTTTAGTGTCCCCGCGGCCCGGTCCTCGACCAGGCCTCCACCCCCAGGAAGCAGCCCGTGACAACTGACTAACACCCAGGTACCTAATTTACTGCTAGGTAACAGGGGCATAGGGTGAAAGAAACTGCCCATTGTTTCTCGCCGGCGCCTGGGATCGAACCAAGGACCACAGGATCACAAGTCCCGCGTGCTATCCGCTCGGCCGACCGGCTCCCGATACAGTACAGGTGTATCAAATAAATATCAAATAAAGGTGATACAGGTGTATTTGATACAGGTGTATCAAATAATATCAAATAAATACAGACAGGTGTATCCCAGGTACAGACAGGTGTATCCCAGGTACAGACAGGTGTATCCCAGGTACAGACAGGTGTATCCCAGGTACAGACAGGTGTATCCCAGATACAGACAAGTCTTTCCCAGGTGCAGGCAGGTGTATCCTTCGGCTTAGTGTCCCCGCGGCCCGGTCCTCGACCAGGGCCTCCTTATTTGTTACACACCGCCAGGAAGCAGCCCGAAGCAGCTGTCTAGCTCCCAAGTACCTATTTACTGCTAGGTTAACAGGAGCATCATGGTGAAAGAAACTCTGCCCATTTGTTTCTGCCTCCACCGGGGATCGAACTCGGAACCTCAGGACTACGAATCCCGAACGCTGTCCACTCAGCAGTCAGTCCCTTTAGATATCTAGAACTACCCTTAGATATTTTTTCATCTGAATTTTTAAGTCTTTTCACATAATTTGTAGGTTGAGTGAGGCCTATTGTGTGTGTGAGAGGGTGTAATGTAAGTAATAAAATCACTAACTATGTTGAGGTGAAACACACTTTGTTTACATACTAAACGAAAAAATTCTCAAACCCATTATAATTCAGGAAAACAAACATATTTACCAAATTATGATCCTTTAAATTTGTATAATTTATTGGGAATTCTTTAACATAGATGTTTGTGTGAGACAGTTTTTTATCTAAAGTACAGGGTCAACCCAAGTCATACTCTATTGTTGACATGTTTCACAGTGGGAAAACTCATAAACAATATTTGTAATGTATATTTATGTATATATTCATTTTAAAATGGAGTTGTAAATGAAGACCTGTAAGCCAATGGGCATCCTGTCAGTTACATACAGTACATGGAAAGCAAAGGGTAGAACTGGTGCTCTCACATGAACTGAAACAAGAGATATTCTCTAAATATCAGCCTTTGCATATTGTACTAATTATACAATCCAGATGCCACTTTTGCCTTGGAGTCTTTTAGCAATAATAGAATGTTGATGAATTACGATAGAATACATAACTAGATAAGTGTATCACAAGCCCATAATATACTAAAATGATACTGGTGTAATCCAACACATTTACACAATCAGTAGCGGAAATCCTTTAGAAATGGTGTTGCCATCAACAACAATTGCAATGCATCAAAAATTACTCACTATAAAGTACCACAATATACCTGAATAAGATTAGAAGTATATGATAGCAAAGTTTCTAATGATGAGAAATTCATAATGCTATTCATAGTGAGATATAAAAGCATAGATAAAAGCAGCTACTGTACCTTATATCTCAAAGATTGGCTTACTGTTCTGTGGTCTAAAATACTGAATATAATTTTACAACAATACAACTGCACGTTTACAACAACAATACAGTTCACTAAAGGCTTAATACATACTTGGGAATGGCTTTAAACCCAATTTGGGTAAACAATTACACAATGAAAATGATTATATTTCTTTTTTCAAATTGCACAAAGCACTTCAATAAATTACTGACAAATTTGCATATGATCATCATTCTATTTCCCAGGTTCATTGGTGAGAAGACACTTGCCATTCATCTGAACATAATGATAATTATTATATACTTATTTATTTTTTTATTTATTTATTTATTTTTTATTTATTTATACACATGAAGGTACATTGGGGGTTAAGAGAGTACATTGTAATGATGATGATTTTACATTCTTGTAAAGCCACTTGCACGCATAGCGTTTCGGGCAAGTCCTTTATTCTAACAGAAAATTTTAAGTAGATAATTTCCAGTAAAATTAACAAAAAAAATTTTCCGGTACATTGTAAGAAATGTTGACACAATAAACAAAGATTAAATTAGTACACAATAATAACAATACACAATAATGACAAGGATTACTAGAAACATTAGGGTAAAATTTTAGGGTTATCAATTGGTTCATTGTAGCACAATTTGAGGATCATTTTAAGGAATATTGCCATAGAATATGCACTCAATATAACAACCATGATATCAGATGATATCAGAGATTACAATGGTAAAGTTATATGGCTTAGGTACATATATGGGGGGCTTGGGTAGCACTAGATACAGTGCTAAAGCACTGTATCTAGTGTAGGAAACTATGAAGATGAAATTAGGTACTTTTTTGTTTTTGAATAAGGCAAAAGTTAGACAACTTTTCAATTCGTTAGGGAGTGAGTTCCAAAGACTAGGTCCCTTTATTTTTGCATAGAGTGTTTATATAGATTAAGTTTGACTCTGGGGATATCTAAGAGATATTTATGTCTGGTGTGGTGATTATGTGTTCTATTACTTCTGTCTAGGAAGAGAGTTCAGAACAGGGTTTGCACCTAAGAAAAGAGTTTTGTAAGTGTAATAGGCACAAGAGAATGTGTGGAGCAAGTTTATGTTTAACATGCTTGGGGATTTAAACAGGAGAGCTGTGTGTTGTCTGTAAGCAGAGTTTGTTATTGTTCTGATAGTAGATTTTTGCTGGGTGATGATGGACTTGAGGTAGTTTGCAGAGGTTGAACCCCAAGCACAGATACCATAAGTAAGATAGGGATAGATTAGTGCATAATATAGCGAGAGGAGAGCAGAGTAAGGTACACAATATCTGATTTTAGAGAGTATATAAACTATTTTAGAGTCTTTCTTAGTTATGTGTTGTATGTGGGTGCTGAAGTTGAGTCTCTTGTCTAAGTATAGGCCAAGGAACTTTCCATCATTTTTATTACTGATGTTAACATTGTCTATCTGAAGCTGAACTGCATTTGTTGATTTGCCTTGCAAATAAGATGTAGTAGGTCTTTTTTATGTTTAATTAAAGTTTGTTGGTTGGCATCGATAAGTGGACTTTTTTTTTATTCATTATATACGACATTGTTTAATGTGTGTGGGTTGAGATCTGAGAAGATGAGGGTAGTATCATCAGCAAATAATATAGGTTTAAGCACATTAGAGGCATTAGGCAGATCATTGATGTATATAAGAAATAGGAGAGGTCCTAGGATGCTGCCCTGTGGCACCCCGACAGTTAATGGTAGACTGGGAGAGGTTATATAATTGATGGCTACATATTGGTGTCTGTCACTAAGATAGGATCGGATATAGTTCAGGACAAGGCTTCGGATTCCATAATGGTGGAATTTAAGTAAGAGGTAGTTATGGTTAATAGTATCAAAGGCCTTTCTCAGGTCAATGAAGAGTCAAATTGGAAACTCATTTTCGTCAAGGGCTGAGTAGATTGAGTCAAGAAAACTAACAATTGCATCATTGGTACTTTTTTGGGAGCGGAAGCCAAACTGACAGGGACTTCGTACGTTGAATTTTACGAGATAGGATAATGGGTAGGTAGGATAATGGTCATTTGCTCTGTCAGTGATTATACTAGATGTAAGGGGAGCAGTTATGTTGGTCCATAAATGATCCAAGGTAGTAGCAGATGTTTGTGTAAATGGAGTGGGCCTGGTGATTGTGGGGATTAGCATACAGGAATTCATGCTGTTTAAAAATAGTCGACTTGAGAGCTATTTTGTTGACACAGGTCAATGGTGAAGTCACCTCCCAGAATTATATGATTTTTGTTGAGGATGTTGTTGATGATAAGATTCCTTAGGTTATCTGAGAATGCAGCTATGTTTGTATTAGCAAATCTATAGATGGCTCCAATAGTCAAGGAGGATCTAAAGGATTTAACAGAGAATTGAGCAAAGGTATATTCTCAATAGTCATCTCTATCACTAATGACACTATTGCAGATGAAGGTATCTTGGTAACATATAGCTGTGCCACCTCTTTTTTTGTTAGGCCTACAGTTGTGAATGGCTTTATAACTAGCTAAGTTGTAAAGTTGGGTATGATTTTTACTTAACCAGGTTTCTGTTAAAATAATGAACGATAGTTTAGTATCTAGGGCAGTGAGTATTGCATTTACATCATCAAAATGTTTACCAAGTGATCTGCCATTATGGTTGAAAACTGATAGACAAGTGTTATTTTGGAGTTTGTTTTTTGCCTGGTGTGCTGTATTCACCTAGTTGTATTCACCTAGTTGTGTTTGAGGGGGCTGAGCTTTGCTCTTTCGGCTCTCCTCTCAACTGTCAATCAACTGTTTGCTAACTACTTTTTTTTCCCCACAGCACCCACGCACACACCCCATGAAGCTGCCCGTGACAGCTGACTAACTCCCAGGTACCTATTTACTGCTAGGTAACAGGGGCATTCAGAGTGGAACTTTGCCCATTTGTTTCTGCCTGGTGCGGGGATCGAACTCGCGTCACAGAATTACGAGCCCTGCGCGCTATCCACCAGGCTACCAGGCCCCCCAGGCTGTGTAAGACCTGCGGTGGTGATGATCTGTATGGGGATCATTACAG